ACCCCCAGAACCTCCTGTGCCCCCAGAACCTCCTGAACCCCCAGAACCTCCTGAATCCCCAGAACCTCCTGAACCCCCAGAACCTCCTGTGCCCCAGAATCTCCTAAACCCCCAGAACCTCCTGTACCCCAGAACCTCCTGAACCCCCAGAACCTCCAGTACCTCCAGAACCTCCTGAACCCACAGAACCTCTTGTGCCCCCAGAACCTCCTGAACCCCCAGAACCTTCTGTGCCCCAGAACCTCCAGTGCCCAAGAACCTCCTGAACCTCCTGAACCCCCAGAACCTCCAGTGCCCCCATAACCTCATTAACCCCAGAACCTCCTGTGCCTCAGAACCTCCTGAACCCCCAGAACCTCATGAACCCCAGAACCTCAACCCCCATAACCTCCTGTGCCCCAGAACCTCCTGAACCCCCAGAACCTCCTGTACCCCAGAACCTTCTGTGCCCCAGAACCTCCAGTGCCCAAGAACCTCCTGAACCCCTAGAACCTCCAGTGCCCCAGAACCTCCTGAACCCCCAGAACCTCATGAACCCCAGAACGTCCTGAACCTCCAGAACGTCCTGAACCCCCAGAACCTCCTGTGCCCCCAGAACGTCCTGAACCCCCAGAACCTCCTGTACCACAGAACCTCCTGTACCCCCAGAACCTCCTGTGCCCCCAGAACCTCCAGTGCCCCAGAACCTCCTGAACCCCCAGAACCTCCTGAACCCCCAGAACCTCATGAACCCCAGAACCTCCAGAGCCCCCAGAATCTCATGAACCCCCAGAACCTCCTGTGCCCCCATAACCTCATTAACCCCAGAACCTCCTGGGCCTCAGAACCTCCTGAACCCCCAGCACCTCCTGTGCCCCCATAACCTCATTAACCTCCTGTTTCCTTAGAAACTTCTGAGCCCTGTGCCCTAAAACCATTTGTGCCCCTAGAACCATCTGTGCTCTAGAGGCACCCGGGAGCACTTACACTTCACAGTGGGGCTAGGGTCTGTGTTTTGCTGAATAACAGGTAATTTATAAAACTGCCAGAGAAAATGCTAGAAGTTCTGTTATATAAACAAATCAACAAACCACACCATAAACGGCCTTCTGAGAATGGCTGCGGTGGAACCCCGTCTCCACTCCACGCCTGTGCTCTGGGAAGTCAGCGGGGAAGGGAGCCCCATGAATGGAGGGCAGGCCCCCCAGCGGAGCCCGGGAGCCAGTGCTGGCCCTCGGAAGCTGTGGGGCGAGCAGCAGTGCCTCGCAGGGCTGGGAAGACGCTGTGTGATGTGGTGCCTGTCCCTTGGTGCAGATGGAGGATTTCCAGATCTACGAGAAGTACTGTCAGAACAAGCCCCGCTCCGAGAGCCTGTGGAGACAGTGCTCCGACTGCCCGTTCTTCCAGGTTTGTCCCCGGACCTTCCTTCAGAACGTTACCCCCTTTCCTAGCCGACTCCTGTGGAATAATAAAAGTCGTGCAAACCAAAGGCTCTGGCTTGGTTCCAGGAATGCCAGAGGAAGCTGGACCACAAGCTGAGCCTGGACTCCTACCTGCTGAAGCCGGTGCAGAGAATCACCAAGTACCAGCTGCTGCTCAAGGTGGGCTCCGCGGCGACCGTGGCCCGGCCTCCCCAGGCACCCGCTGGCCAGGCCTCTGTGCCACCCTGGGGCCCCGTCCCCATCGCGTCCTGCCCCTCCCAGGCCAAGGGCACCTCCTCCAAGCCTGTGCTGAGGCTGGGATGCCTTTCGAGGTCCTACTGTGCGCCGCTGTTAGGGGTGCTGAGGACACAGGTGAGCAGACAAGTCCCCGTCCCTGTGGGTTTCCACACAGCCCGGCCCGCACGGGATTCTGTGTGATGTGCTGACCCGTCCCTCCAGGGTGGAACCGTGCCTGGATTATCTGGCACACAGCAGGGATGTGGGGCGGCCTAGGCTGGGGATTCCAGTTATGAGTGTGCTACGTGGGCGTCTCTAACCTTCAGGCAGGAAACTGCAGCTCCATGCCTTTGGCCAGGGTTAGGGTGGCGAGAGGAAACTCCCCGGAAACTCCCCGGGAGCAGGTGCGAGGGGTTTGCACCTGGGCATCAGGCTGGCAGGAGGGAGCTCCCCGGGAGCA